ACACACACACACACACACACACACACACACACACACACACGCACACACACACACACATACACACAGACACACCACACACACAATTTTCATTCCTTAACAATAAGGTTCACCTTTCAGCACCTTGAATGTATATAGCTCTGTTGCAGAGGCTGAAAATGACAAGTCTGTGAGCCCCATTCACAATACTTTTACCTTTAGAAAAAAAAAGTGTTTGAGTTAGATTTGCAAAGAAATGTGAAACAAAAATAACTCCTTCTCATTAATATACCCTATCGAAATAAAAGAGTCTTGCACGCTTTTTTTACCCTTATGAAGAAATGTGAAGTGACATAACACCTCTTTAATATCAAACGGAGCAGTCTTCCTGAATACATGTGCTTACTTATCTTTGAATCTCTGACCCCCACCCCTTCACCCCCTTTCTCCCCCTCCCCTCTTTCTCCCCAATTCAACTCACACAGGACGCTCACTGATCCTAGACGCTGACTTTCTATGGATCGGAGCCAACGACCGTGGTGTGGAGACAGGATGGCGATGGGCGGACGGGGGACCAATGGGCTTTATCAACTGGGCTCCTCGTAAGTTATCCCTCCTGTCCACGTTAAGTTTCACACTTTTGAAAACTTCTATAGAACGTACAGTAAAACCAGACCAATGTTTCGTGGATGGAGAAAGGAACGAGACAATATTACAGGGTCTGGTTGTTGTCAGATCTTCCAGTTTGGGTGAAGATAGGAGGCAGTAGGGGGTACCTGACGAGGCTCTCTATCACACAGCGCCCCAAGGATTCTTGTGGAATAGATCCGTAAGCAGTAATCAGTAAGTGAAGATATCAAGGAATTTGGAGGTGGAGGAAAATAAATGTTTGGTGAAGACATGAATGAATTTGGGGTTTGGGGAGGAAGATGTTTGAGTGAATGTCAATGGCCCTGTGATGTCACAAATAACACACTCCCAGTCAGTTTTATGGGCTACGATTCACGTAAAAAAACGGTTGTCTTCAAAGACTACTTAACCAATCATGAAAATGAGACTCCGGTTGAACCCATCCCCTAAGTCACCAGGTGTTGCAGGACTTTCTTCCTTCCTCCTGTAACAACACCCATACATCTAGTCCACCCCCCTCACCCCCCTCACGATAGAACCTTTTTTCATTGTACTATTTATTAAACTATCTTTTGGCCTCCACTTATGACAGCTGTTGCTAGCCATAGTAGTAGTGGACTCTATACTGTTAGAAAAGATGTCAACAGAGTATGGGCTGTATAAGTCTTCATTTATATTGTAACCTGTGATGATGACAATCAAATGGTTTGGACATCTCCTACGATTACCAACACACCATCCACCACAACGTGCCTACATCCAAAAATTCGATGCCAACAAGGCTAGAGGGCGACCGAGAAAGACCTGGAAAGATGGAGTCAGGGAAGCAGCCACCCACGGCATCTCCCTGACCCAAGCTCTCCGGCTGGCGACAGAGAGACGTCTCTTTCTTCCCGCGACACCTAAAAGGGTATAAGCGGCGGATAAAAAAATAGAAAAAGAAAGAAAAAAAGATGATGAGGATATATGTGAATCCAAAGAAATGATCCAGGTTCTGAACTCTGGAGTATCATTGTCAACTTTTGTATGTTGGTGTGTATGTCAGATACTTTTTTCACATTTGTGCTTTTTTTTCAGGAAAAGTGGTTTAATAAATGATGAAGTTTCTGTATTCAAGAAATGAAAAAATAAAACGACATCCATTTCAGAAACTGACTTAAAATTTGCTGAAAATTCAAACAAAGGGCTTTCTTTGCTTTAGACAAGCACAGACTAACATTTTGTCGAAGTTCAGTATGATGCACGGGCCGTTTTACTAGATAGTCGTTCCCTTGTGTTAGTTTTGATGACAATATGCGATTTTTGTGCTGATATTTAGAAGAACCCAATGTTTAAAAAAAACAAACTTATCACTTTGTACATCTTTAACCCATCAAAGAAAAATTGTTAATTCCTCCCAGCCTGACTTGTCCCAGTGACAGAAACATGTAATGATTGACCCACGATAAATGATATGTACATAACCTGTACTTTTTCATTCTGGAAACTCAATTAAACAATAAAATAAATGAGTGGTTTTATACGATATGTGATGTGGGCCAATGGCCTTAAACACTGAATAAACTGACTTAAACTGAAACTAACATAATGATTTTTCTCCCTGTCTCTCTAGACCAGCCTGACAACGCACACGAATCTGACTGTGTTGTCATGGTAACTCAGTCTGGACGCTGGGATGATCTCCCCTGCCAAGACCGTTATGGATACATCTGTGAGAAAAAGGGTCAGTTTAAGTATTGTCTTTATGTTATATAACAAACATGTTTTAGAGGAAGGGGACAATTTCCTTGAAGGGTGCAATGACATGTGTTCGTGTGTTGTGTTATGTTTTGTTTGTTTATGTGTGTGTGTATGTTGTGTTTATTTGTTTGTGTGTGTATACATGTATGTGTATGTGTGTGTGTGTGTGTGTTTGTGTGCGTGTGTGTGTGTGTGTGTGTGTATGTGTGTGGTGGGTGGATAACGAAGAAGTTGGTATAACATGAGAATGTTTCGGAGTGTTCTATGGTCTGCTGGGGTAATAATATAGTGTAAATCGCATAGAGCCTGCTGTTGAGCGGGGATATACGCTGTACAAATGCTATTTATTATTATTATTTGTGTGGAAGGGGAGGTTGGGGATGAGAAGACGTCATGGGTCGATGAGGAAGGGGGGGGGGGTGTTCCAATGTGGGTGACAGTTGGGTTAGTTTTTAGGAACCACCAGCCAACCCCTGGTACAACCACTGTTTGGGGACTCTCGTGGCCTAGAGGTTAAGGTGTTGGCCTCTCATTCAAAGGTCCCGGGTTCGAATCCCGGTAGCGACAGAAAAATGTTCTTCTCTAAAATTGTCTCCTTTTACCTCCTTTCCTGCTCTCTAGCAATGTTCTGTTGTCTGCTTTCGTTTTCACTTTCTGCCCACACCCCCTTACCTCCTTTGCCCCCTTCTCTGGGCTCCTGACTCTTTCTGCAGCCTTTCTACTGCTACTCCTTGGCTCCTCCTTACTGCTGTCTTTCTGCCACACCCCTGATCTTCTGGTAGGAAAGATGTACACCTAGCCTTCTCGGACAAGGGCGAAAAATCTCGGAGGGCCCGTGTGCAAGTTGGGCACATTAAAGATCCCTTTGTGTTCTAAAATCGATAAGAGTAGGTTTCGGCGGCCACCCGGGCAAAATTCAAAAATTCCTACCAACTGAAAATATTATGTGTGTCCCGAGCGCTCATATGACCGTATGCAGTTGCGAGCGCGTAAAACACTTTACACAAACAAAACAAACAAAACAATCACGGTTTCGATTTTAAAAAAATCCATAATTATCTTTTTCCCATACCATAAACAGAAACGCATTGGACCAGGCAATATTTGGGAACGGAATGCTCCTAACTTCTACTATAAATATCAGAAACTGATTTGGAATGTGATTAAGCACATTCATTAACGTGTATTGTCATTTTTTAAAAACAACGTTTGCTGTCTCTTCCAGGATTTGTGACATCACCTACTCCAAAACCCACAACATCACCTGCACATCTTCCAGGTGAGAGTGACTTGTTGTTCTTGTTCTTTTTTATTTTATGACCTAATGGCCCAGTCAGCCATCTGAATGTGCAGCATCTTAATTAAATTGAGTGTTTGAAGACAGTTAAAGAGTCTTTCTAAGAATTATACTTCACAAACGTGCATACTGCCAAAGGACAGGTCGTTCTTTTCTTTATTCGTATTATTATCATACGTCTCTCCTTGGTTGTCCAGAAGCGAGAGAGAGAGAGAGAGAGAGAGAGAGAGAGAGAGAGTGAGAGAGAGAGAGAGAGAGAGAGAGAGAGAGAGAGAGAGTGTGTGTGTATGTGTGAACATACAATGTACATACATAGAGACAATTCCATAACTCATGTAAAACGGGGTTTTTTTTAAGGCACCAAAAACCAAATTAAAAGTGAAGAATGTCTATTGAGCCATGAGTCATTAAAAGCAAACATATATATGAGACAGCGTGGTGGAATCAGGCTCTCGTCAATTTTTGGGCATGTAGAGTTATTGGTATCATCTTAAAGCTTGTTTACTTGTCTTTGTGCCTTTAATCAACGTTTTGCAGAGAAATCCACACAGAAATGAGTTCTTTAATGGGCATGAGTGG